TTCAAGCTCAACGACGACAACTATCTGCTGTGGAGCGAGTGTATGGAGGTTGCTTTGCGCACCAAAAACAAGCTTGGATTCGTCCTTGGAACCATTCAGGTACCAGCACTTACAGATCCGTTTTATGGAACTTGGGATCGTGTTAATGGCACAGTTGTATGCTGGATTAGGAATTCTGTTTCTGAGGACATTGTTCCTAGCCTTCGAAACATCAAGGTTGCATCAGAGGCATGGACTTACCTAAAATCTAGGTTTAGTCAAGGTGATTCAGTGAGAATAGCAAATCTGCAAGAAAAGATGGATCTAACTAAGCAAGGAAACAAAACCATTCGACAGTATTACACAGATCTGAAGTTGGTATGGGATGAACATCAGACATATCAACCCATTCCTTACTGTGATTGTCCTTCTCGCACTTATGAAACTGTGATGCGTTATCAAGAAAGGGGAAAGGTCATTCGCTTTCTGCTGGGATTAAATGAGAGATACCAGCAGGTGAAGACCCAGATGCTAATGATTGAGCCTCTTCCTGATCTTGATAGTGTTTATAGATCAGTGACTCAGCTGGAAAGGCAATTGAACAGTTCTAATTCCAATGTCGGGAAATCTGAAGAAACAATTGCATTAGCAACTGCACTTGCAGGGTCCAAAGCTCAGTACAATCAATCCAGGGATAAAGGGACTTCTGAACACCAACCTGGAGGACTCTTCTGCAGGTATTGCAAGAAGGATAATCACGTGAAGGAAGACTGCTGGAAGCTGAAACGTAAGAATGGCCTTCTGGGTAACAATCCTGGTAGCAACCCAGGCAGAGGAAGAGGGTTTGCTGGTTCAGTTGATGTGGTTAGTGGAGAGGGCACTACTTCAGGAGGAGCAAGTTCATATTCCCCCACTAGTCCTGTGAGTCAGCATGAACCTCACTCACCAACCTTCTCAGGTTTCACAGCTGATGAGCTTCACAGACTCAAGGCCTTGCTGCAGTCTTCCTCATCCACTCAAGGTGGTTCACAAGCTAATTCTGTTATGGCTGGTTCTGTGCCCATGACAGGTAAATTTATCCTTTCTACCTCTCAAACCAGAACTGATAAGTGTGTGTGGGTTCTGGATACAGGAGCTAGTGATCATATAGTGTGTTCACTTAGCTTATTTCTTAGATGTAGGTCAGTTAACAACATGTCTGTGACTTTACCAAATGGCCAACAGGCCACAGTCACACATATAGGGATAGTGAAACTCCCTTGTGGCATCTTACTGACCAACGTTTTACGGGTTCCCTCTTTTTCCTACAATCTAATCTCAGTAAGCCAATTAACCAAAAACAGCTCAGTCTCACTCTTATTTCAATCCACTTTTTGTTATGTCCAGGACCTTATATCTCAACAGAGGATTGGTTTAATCCCAGTAAGTAGAGGACTTTACCTTCTTGGAGAATCAAGTGGCCCAGGAGAGATTTGCAAACCAGAAATTCTTGGAGTGAGCAGCAGTCAAAGCCCCAGTTTATGGCATCAGAGATTAGGCCATTTGTCTTTAGATAGATTGAAGAATATTAAGAAAGTTTGTAATGAGATTGAAGTTCCTGATTCCTTAGCTTGTGAGATTTGCCATTTCTCCAAGCAGAAACGTTTACCCTTTTCTAAAAGTACTTCTCATTCCAAGTGTCCTTTTGACATGATACATACTGATATTTGGGGACCAGTAAATGTGATTTCCATGGATGGTTTTCAGTATTTTTTGACTGTTGTGGATGATTACAGCCGTTGCACTTGGCTTTACTTAATGCATTCTAAATCAGAGGCTAGAACCTTGTTGCAATCATTCTGTGCAATGGTAGCAACTCAGTTTAACACCAAGGTTAAGACTGTTAGATCAGACCAAGGTCTAGAGTTTCAGATGGATGCTTTTTACCAACAGCATGGAATAATCCATGAGCTAAGTTGTGTGCACACAGCACAACAAAATGGCAGGGTTGAGAGGAAACATCAACACCTGTTGAATGTTGCAAGGGCATTGAAATTTCAGTCAGGTCTCCCCACTAGTTTCTGGAGCCATTTTGTTTTGCATGCATCTTACCTGATCAATAGAATTCCCACTCCTGTTTTGAATGGTAAATCACCCTTTGAGTGCTTATATGGGGTGCCACCAGATTATAGTGATTTGAGGGTGTTTGGTTGTCTTGCTTTTGCTACCAATGTACAACCTCACAAGCCTAAGTTTGCTCCCAGAGCAATCAAAACAGTGTTCCTTGGTTATACTTATGGCATTAAAGGTTTTAAGCTGTATGACTTGGAGAATCATACAGTCTTCACCAGTAGGGATGTGGAGTTCCATGAGCACATTTTTCCCTTTCTTACCACTTCATCTACCTCCCCATCTTCATCTACAGCCCCATCTTCATCTACAGCCCCTTCCTTCACTTATTCAGACATGTTCCATGGTCCTCCACTCCCTTCTGATCACAACAGCCATGAAACCTCAGACCCAGACTTTGTTCCTTCCTCTCCTACTCCTTATTCTACACCTGTTTCTACACCAAATTCCACACATGTTTCCACACCAGGTTCTACACCCCCAGCTTCATCATCTCATACACCACTCTCTTCTCCTCCTCCTTCCCCACCTCCATCCCCCACACCTCCCATTGCCCTCAGGAAACCAGTAAGAACTACTAGACCCCCTAAACATCTAGAGTCCTTTCACACCTCTTTCCTTTCTCACTCTGGTCTTTCTTCTTTTGATTCCAAACTCCTATATCCTCTTTCCCACTCTCTGGATTATTCCCATTTACCTCCTTCACACAAGTCTTACATTCTCTCCATCTCCCTCACTTCAGATCCTCAAACCTATAACCAGGCAGCTCCACATCCCTGGTGGCAGGCAGCAATGAAGGAGGAGGTTAATGCCCTTGAGGCTAACAACACCTGGGATATTGTGGACAGACCTGTTAATGTTACTCCAGTTGGTTCTAAATGGGTTTATAAAACCAAATTCCTTCCTGATGGTTCTGTGGAAAGGTTCAGGGCTCGAGTTGTTGCAAAGGGTTATACTCAGACATATGGTATAGATTTTGTTGATACTTTTTCTCCTGTTGCTAAGATGAATTCAGTCAAACTTCTCTTAGCTGTTGCTGCTGTTAAACACTGGCATCTTCACCAGATGGATGTCAGCAATGCTTTCTTGCATGGTGACTTAGAGGAGGAGGTATACATGGAGTTGCCACATGGATTAAGAGAGCTAAGTCACCTGCAAGGAAAGGTTTGCAGGTTAAAGAAGTCGATTTATGGTCTCAAGCAGGCCAGTAGGCAGTGGTACTTGAAGCTGAGTGAGTACTTGACCAAGATTGGTTTTAGTCAGTCCAATGAAGATTACTCAGTGTTCAAATCAGCAACTGTGATTCTTGTTGTTTACGTTGATGATATCATTGTAGCAGGACCAAATCTGGAGGACATTCAACGTGTTAAGAATCAGTTGCAGCAGGGGTTCAAAGTAAAAGATTTAGGCAATCTCAAATATTTCCTAGGCCTGGAAATAGCTAAAACAAATGCTGGGATTTCTTTGTGTCAAAGAAAGTTCTGCCTTGAGATGTTGGAAAATGCAGATTTCTTGGAATGTAAACCAGCCAAGACTCCTATGAGTATGAAGACTGCACTATCTGCTAGTGATGGAACCAAACTTGAAGATGGATCTGTTTTTAGGCACTTGCTTGGTCAGTTACAGTATCTGACTTCAACAAGGCCTGATATTTGTTTTCCTGTACAGCAGTTGAGTCAATTTCAGGACTGTCCTACTACTGTGCACTTGAAGGCTTTGCACAGAATCTTCAGGTATTTGAAAGGATGTCCAGCACAGGGATTATGGTTCTCCTCATCTTCTAGCCTTCAGTTAAGTGGCTATTCAGACTCAGACTGGGCAACATGTCCTGACTCAAGAAGGTCAGTTACAGGGTATTGCACGTTTCTGGGAAGTTCATTGGTTACCTGGAAGAGTAAGAAACAGGGTACTGTGTCTCGATCTTCCTCAGAAGCGGAGTACAGAGCTCTTGCTCAATTATCCTGTGAAGTTCAGTGGCTTAAGGCTTTACTTGCCTTTTATGGAGTTCCTCATTCTCAACCAGTTAAGGTATATTGTGATAATCAGTCTGCTATTCACATAGCAGAGAATCCCGTTTTCCATGAAAGGACAAAACACATAGAGGTGGATTGTCATGTTGTGCGAGAACGATTACAATCGGGCTTAATTACTCTTTCTCATCTCAGAACAGAATATCAATTGGCCGACTTGTTTACCAAGGGCCTTTCTGCAGACAGGTTTACTTTCTTGCTCTCCAAGCTGGGAGTACACAGTTTGTACTCGCCAGCTTGAGGGGGCGTGTGAAGCAGAGTGTTCTAATGGAGGAGTTCAGCGGAGCTGAAATGCAGAAGGAAAGGAACACTCTGCAAGAGGAAGAAGATGACTGAAGCGGGTCGGATCACGGTTGAACCGGGCTTCCTTTCACCCGTTCAATTGATACGCAGAAGAATAAAGTGATGCGGCACCGTTTGACGATAAGTGAAGCTTCAGTTGATTTAAGTGCTCTTAGCACACGTGTAAATAGCTGATAGGACGAGTTTGATTGTTAGTTGTAGTTAGCCGTTAGAGTACAGTAGATTAGGAAGAACACTGTGTTAATCTCTGTATATATATTCTGGAGAAAATGGAATGGAAGGCAGTATGCAACATTCCCCCAAAAATCAAACCCTAAATCTTCTCTCTTCTCAAACCCTAGCCTCCATGGCAGCTAGGTCTCAAACTCTCACAAAGATTCTCCATTGCAACTCTCTTATGCTTGTTGCCATATTGCCAGTTGATCCAGGCAGTGCAGAGGTTTAAGGTGCTGAAAGTAAGGCAGAGATAGACGAACCCGCGATGGCTGAGGGAGAAGCGAGACATGGCTCGTTCGTTCGTGATCAAGAGATCGAAAGAGACAGAAACTCGATCGATCGATCGACAAGAAATACCAAAACCTAGGGCAGGGTAAGTTTCTGTAGGCGATCGATGGTGTGGGAACTGAAATTAAAGGCCAGTTTTTATTCCGTTTCCTCCCCAGCCATGGGTTAGTGTTTTTTATTTTATTTTTTCATTACAGGAGGCACCAGGCCAAAGAAGGAGAAACGGCGAGGGATGCCATGGGTTAGTTAGCGGTGGGTAAAATGTAGATAGATCAGCCAATTATTATGAGGTTTGTTACAAAACCGTCACTTAACTTTAGGGTAAATTGCAAGATTGGTCACTGAGATTACTGAAAATGTTTATGTTTGGTCACCAAAAATATTTAATTTCATTTATGGTCATTAGAATTAATAAAACAGTCCAAATTTGGTCACTCTCCGTTAACTTCTGTTAGTCTCCGTTAACGACGTCAGTTTGTAGGTTAATTGCACTATTGCCATTTAAGTTTATCTTTTGTTGCACGGTGACCACTTAAGTGCATTTTGTTGCACATAAACCATTTACGTCGAATAATAGTTGTAATGTCACAATTTCTGTCAATAAAACTAACTTTAGGTATCTAAAGTTAATTTTCCCTACCATGTTGGCAGTCCACATCACCATCGGAACCTGAGTCAGATCTGGCTCACCCTCCTTTTTGTCCAATTAATGGACCATTTCTCCCATCGAAACCCTTCCTAATTCTCAAATCCAATTTTTGATGCTAAACCCAGAAAAAAGTTCTCCATGCCGAGGCAGAGCATTTTGGGAGACGATTGGCTAGATGCAATCATGCAAATGGCGGACCGGTGGCTCCGTTTATTCCTGTACACGAACTTCGAGGTGTCCTCGGAGTTTTAATCGGTGACACATCTTGATTTATTACTTCCTCTGCTCCCAGAGCTTGGCCGACGCCGCGATGCCGAACACCACCTGCTGCAAATCCGTCGCCTGATTCTTGGGCCTCTCCTCAATCTCCCGCCTCGAGAGAGCGATTCCCTTTTCCCCCCGTCGACGAGGGCCTCGTCATCGGATGATTCATGCCGATTAGGGCGACGAGGGAGAGGTGCTGGGATGAGCGGCGGCAGGAGACGGTCTCATCGTTGCAGGTTTGGGAAGTGGAGACGAGCTTCAAGGTGTAGAAAATGTATGTGACGGTGACGAAAAGGAGAAGCCATACCATGAACTTGGGGAGGATCCGAGCTGGGGAATCAGTTACGGAGATGGAATTGGTGTGAGAGTGGCTCCTTATCTGATCCTAGATGATCTTCTCCAAATCTTTCTATTGCTCCTGCTTCCCCTCAGGTTGTACGAATTTGGGAATTTCTTTTCAATTTAATCCACCAATGGGGTTCTTACTTTCTTCGATCAGATTAGGATTTGGGGTGTGGGGAATAGAGAACGCGATTGGGATTTAGCATCCATCAATCGAAATAATCATTGGGGAAAAAGGGGGAGAAGGGGGAAGGGAATTAAAGCGGGTTCTTGAGGATGGTTTCTCTTCCCCTGTTCATGGTTGAAGTTCTGGGGAGAAACAGAGTGGGAGGAAGATGTTCATATGGAACTGAGTTTTCTGTAGACAAATAATTGAATCGACTAAGTTCTGGCCCATGCTGACTCAGCTTCAGATGGTGATGTGGACTGCCAACATGGTAGGGAAAATTAAATTTAGATACCTAAAGTTAGTTTTATTGACGGAAATGGTGAAATTGCAACTATTATTCGACGTAAATGGTTTATGTGCAACAAAATACACTTAAGTGGTCACCGTGCAACAAAAGATAAACTTAAATGGCAAACAGTGCAATTAACCCTCAGTTTGTTGCTAACGTGACTAACAAAAATGCTGATTCATCATATTTTAACATGCCACGTCATAAAATTTGACCCGCCATATCATCGAAGCCCGCCACATCAGTTTTTTCAAACCCAAACCCAGCCTGTGACCCGACCCTAAACCCAACCATCGCCTCCCAACTTCTCTCCCCTTCAATCTTCCGGCTGCTCCCCTTTCCGCTCATTCTGCGGGGATCGATGATGTTGGATGCGAGTGGCGGCGGGCGGCTGGGATGGCGATGAAGAGTGGCGGCAGGAAGAAGGCTGGGCGACGATGACGCAGCGGTAGGAGGTCATCGATGGCACCAGAAATGTTCAAGTGTTGGGATTCATCTATCTGCCGGAGAAGAAATATGAACCGCCATTCCTTTTGCTGCAAATCAAAGATCCCATACAACATATTAAAAATAAATTTCGATCCCTAAAAACCCAGAGGAACCGCTATCCCTCGATGGCGATGGCGTTCTCGACACCGGTGCCTCGCACTCTTTTTCCTCGTCCTCACCACCGGCAGAGAATTATCGACGACGAGTTGGAAATGGCGATTCCGAACCAGTCCCCGATCAGGATTATGGGGGACTTCTTCTATTTGCCGGGTCGACCACCTTGGACGCGAGTGAATCGAGAGTTGGAGGAACCGACGAGAGAAGTCGAGCATGAGGGCCGGAGCTGCGGGAATTGATCAACGGGATTCCTCTCCCAATCGGACATGCAACAACAGAGCGTGTCGAGGACCACTTGTTCAATCGTGATCAATATTTTGCCCCTCCTCTCTCTCGCTTTCAAGGGACGCAATCTTCTGGTTCGAAGGTTATGACTTTTCTAATTTTTTGCTTGCTTTTCTAGGGTTTGATTCTGGACAAATAGAATTGAACGCAGAGAGGGGGATTCTTTGAATAATTGGGACCGGAATTAATTGAGGGATCAGCTCACTAGTCACTCTTCCTCCTTCTCTGCTCTGCGATCTCATCTTCAAATTCCCATCCCAATTTCCTCCAACTCGCCCGAACCCACTCACCGTCTCCAGCTTAGTCGAAACCGGCGGTGGTAACACCGCATCAACAACGACAACAGGGAAAGCTTAAAAGAAAGCTGTCGACGATGGTGGTAGTCTCAAAAGTTTCGCTGACGTTTGTGAAAAACATTTCCGTGAACCGCGTTTCCTCATCCGAAGACTCGTCCTCGTCGTCTTCACCGGCGCTGGAGGAGAGAAGATAACAGAGAGAAGAAGAGGGTTAAGTTAGGTTGGGTCACGAGCAGAGGAGGAGAGGTGCTGGGGTGGAGAGAGAACCCGGTAGAAATTTTTTAAGGCTAGGTTGGTCAAGAAGGGTTGGGTATGGGTTGGGTGGATTATCTTACGTGGCTTGTATATATTAATGACGTGGTAGGTCAATATAGGCTGATTAGGATGTTCTGTTATCCACGTCAGCAACAAACTGACGTCGTTAACGGAGACCGGAAGTTAACGGAGAGTGACCAAATTTGGACTGTTTTATTAATTCTAATGGCCATGAATGAAATTAAATATTTTCGGTGACCAAACATGAACGTTTTTAATAATCTCAGTGACCAATCTTGCAATTTACCCCTTAACTTTAAAACTATAATGAAATAACCGAGTCAAATAAGGGATGGCAACGAGTCAAATCCATTGTTACGTCCCTCTTATCCTTATTGCCATGTTCCTCCCAGTTTTTCCAGGATGTAGTGTAGATGTTTAAGGTGCTGACATCAAGGCAGACACCAATGAGGATTGTCGGGGCCGCCGTATAGCTAGAGGGGTGGGTACGGAGCGCCGACGACGATGGCGTTGGTGGGTGGCGGCCTATGACGATTCCGGGTTATAGTGTCGGATAATATGATGATGGATTTTACTTCTGATGAGGATTAGGGTGTTATGAAACTAATGTAATATATAAACAACCACAAGAGAATATTAGAGAGGGAAAGACACAAGAGAAGAGAGGGGAAGATTTCTTCATATTCATTCTTAACTTTTGATACAATAATATGCTCTATTTATAGGCACACTTTGGTAACCACTACATCCTTATATCAATGCATATGAATGAGAGATAATAATGTAGGAATAGGGGTTACATGTAACTCCCAAGTGAACATCTAATGTGGTAATGGCAATGGTCATTCATATATCAATATTTACATAATACTCCCCCTTGGATGACCACTAGATTGCATTACGCTATCTCATACTGCCTCATTAAAAACCTTACCAGGAAAACCCAGTGGGAAAAAACCATGGTTAAGGGAAAAAGAGTGCAATGCGTATATGCTCCCCCTCATGACCAAATCACTTCAAATCTTTGAGTCGTTGAACTCAAATTTCACGAACAACTTTAGAAATATTGTTGCCGGGAGTGAGTTAGTGAACAATCTTCTAGATTGTCAATTTGATGCATGATCTTTAGATTTTTTTCATACATGATTGTCAGGATCATTTCCTTTGGAAATAGTTCATAACCACAAGTCCTTTAGAAATGGTGGATCACAAAGTGTAATGAAATACATTCAGGACTTGTCTATTATAGTTTGTTTTATTTCTATATATAACAATTATATCACCATATGTACGAGATAGCTCGTCTCCGATCAACCAATATGAGGATCAAATGGTATTATAGGATATGAATATATAGTTCACCAAATATCTATTTGATAATACCATAATAGAACAATCGCACATATTGTTCCCGGAGGTAACTTAGTATTTTCCAACGTTCCAACGAGGGAAACATTGTATCTTGCTAATATTATCAACACCAAAATGATAGTTTATATGGTGCTTGGCTAGCAAGGTGCATTGGTGCTCTGATGCATCAACATATGGTACTTCAGGACCTAATGTTTCACTTCTTTCTTGATTTCTTAATGGATCTTTGGTCACTTCTAGTGATCTTAGGATCCTAATGTTATTTGATGAACATAATTTGTTCATGCAAAATTACTTTTCCACTTTTTCAACATTACCTTCCTTTCTCATAAAAAGGATCTTAAATCCTTCAATTTAACTTATGTCTCTAAGCAATCAACTGCTTTAGGAAACTCTTCAGGAGCTCCAATAATAGACATATCATCAACATAATATGAGATCGTCACAAAAAAACTTGACTAAAACAAATTGAAGCAAGCGATTCTTTCATATCACAAAAGATATTAACAAAACACACATCATAGAAACATATGAACTAGACAAAGCACACCCATAAAACATAACCC